GCTATGGTGGACACCGTCTTCATCACCTTGTCGGGCGCTGCATCTGGAAGGCCCCAGTTGGGGTAGCGCTGCATCAAGGAAGCTCGAGGCAGAGTCAGGCATGGCGGACTAAGTCAGCAGCACCATAGCTGCTCTGAGTTGTCCTTTGCACATCAGCGCAGCACCTTAGCTGCTTGGGTAGTCCTTGGACATTGGCGCAGCACCATAGCTGCTCCGGGTTGTCCTTTGCACAGCAAGGCAACCCCTTGGGAGTCCGCCATGGTCTAGGCATGAGAAAGGAGGTTGAAGGGGGAAGCCATAGCTATGGTGGACTGTTGTTGTTGTTGTTGTTGTTGTTGTTGTTGTTGTGTTGTGAGTTGAGTCAGCAGTAAGGGGGAACTTCGGACATTGATTCTTTTTTTATTTTTTTATTTTTTTAAATTGGACCATTTCTCGATTTATTCGTGTCATCCTTGCGCAGGGGCCATGCTAATCTTCTCTGTATCGTTCCAATTTTAACGGATGTCCCGAAGGACTCGGACATTGATTCTGGTTCATCCATTCATTGTTATTATTATTATTGAGAGAAGAATAAGATTGGTGAAGAGAAGGAAAAAGGAGGAAGGTGGAGAGAGAAGGGGGAATTGTCATTGGTCTTGCTGGTGTACTTCTTCTTCTTCTTCTTCTTCTTCTTCTTTACCTCTCCTCTGGTCTTTATCTCTTTGCAAGTGCTTTCATTTCTTTCGCAATTGGGTGGCACTGTCTTTCATTGTGAATTTGCACTTGGGAAATGACCAGGATCGTAACAATTGGTATCGGAGCGGACTTACTTGCTGGCGAGAGGTGTTCGTCACCCTAACCCTAATTCCGAATTAGGTTAGGGCTAACCTAATCTTGGATTAGGGTTGCAAGTTAGGGTTAAGTGGGGCAGCGAGGTATGGGGATGCTGCCCCCACCTGGTTAGGTCATGTAGGGTCGACATTGGACCCAACCAGGTTGCTTGAGTGAATGTATGGGGTGGCGAGACACAAAGGAGGCTGATTGGAGTAAGCGAAAGGGAGTAGAGAGTGAGAGGTACTCGCACCTGGATTCTGGACTTCAGGAAGACATTGAGTGACTTTTGGGCTTCCCCTCAAGAGGGAGACTTGATCGGAGGCTACCATATCTGCATCAGATTGCTGCAAGTTGCTACTTTGGTCTTCAGGCATCGACGGGGGATCCGGCTTTGCAACAAGGGTGTAGGAAGGCTCTCTTAGTCATGCTAGGACACTTCGTGTAGTGGTAGCTAGGGGTCAGGAGGACTTATATGAGAGGGGAGTGCCTCGTTATCCATCTTTGGAGGCCGGGCCTCACAGGTAAGTGTCGTGTGACCTGGGTAAGCCCATGGGAGGTTGCTTGGTGCTGCATGACCTGTTGGGGGTGTGCTGAGATCTCTTCCCCTTCTCTGCAGTCTTGGTTGTGTGTGTTGAGCATGTGGATTGCTTTCTCACTTGATGGGTGAATGGATGATGTATCTTGTTCTAAATGACGCATCTTTCTACAGTGCATTGTCTTTTCACTTCTGAACGGTAGTAGGGGTAAGTTCTTGCTGAAAGTTGTCTTTTCTTTTTCAGTACCGTAGAGACAGTTTGGGTCTGACTTGGTACCCCTGTCTCGTTAGACCTGGTCCACGGCCTACTCGGGACCACTTGGGACCCAATGGGACCAGGCCCAACGGGACAGGACCTTCGGGCCCAGATCTGTTGCCGTCAGTGCATTACTATGCTGTGCTGAATCTGGGGGACACACAGACAGCAAGGGCATTCCTTTCAAGGGGATCTTGACTGGTCTTACCGCGTGTGATCACATACTGCCCCGCGTCTGACTCGGCGACCATCTGCACCCCTCGAAATCTCCATTGCTGCAGTTAGTCTTCTTCGTCTGATTTATTGTGATGGCACGTCCTCTGTCAGGTTAGACAAGAGGGGATCTCCAGCTGATCTGATCGGGCCCGTTCTATAAATCAGACCTCTCTGTTGTTTTATTTTTCATTTTATTTATTTTTTATTTTTATTTTTATTTTCTTCTGCTGCGTGCCACGTTCTCAGTCCAAATGATTTGCCGCTCTGGCTAGGAGTTCTACCTTCTTCTCTGAGTGGTTTTCTGTTTGTTTCTTTGGCCTGAACTATCTATGTCCGGTGTTGAGACGCGTGCGCAGATAGCAAAAAGAGAGGAAAGGGAGAGCGAGGGTGTGTTGTTTGAGAGTGTGAGGAGGGGCAAAAGGAGTGTTCGTCCAAACGTAAGGAGAGAGCGGACCCCTCTTGAGAGCACTACTGACATTCCTTCCTCCAGCATGGCGGTCATCACATCTGACCAATGGCAGGCCATGCTGGACGCAGCAGACGAGAGTCAGAAACCGTTCTTTCAAAAACTGTATGATGATGCCGTACAGAGGGAAAGGGAGGCGGAGGCAGCAGCTAGAGCTACGAGTATAGCTGCGCAGGAGACCCTCCTACAGGTTCCGGAAGCCAATGCTGACCGGTTCCAGGAGAGGCTAGCTGCTGCCGTCGCAGCCTTGGTCCGGCTGCGGAACTTGGAAAATCTCGAGTCCCGTGTGACAGCACTGCTGTAATCCCAGTCTCTCAGTCCAGCAAAGCCCTCGTTCCAAGGGCCAACGGAACTGTGGCAAGTGCAGGAACCGGTGCCAGCTCCTCGAGCGGCATCACCGACAGTTCTGCACTGGTCACAGTCCCAAATGCAGGGACTTCGGCCCAAAACGCCGCAGTTCTTACTGGCGTTTAGTACAGCGGTCCCATGGTGGACAAGCGGGCGGCCACGTTGCCGTCCAAGTATGACGGGAAGGCTGACATCACCTCTTGGATTAGTTCCATGAGGTCATACTTCGAGGTCATGCGGACACCGCAAGAGGACCGAAGTATGATCATGGGGACTAACACTGAGCCCACCGTACGCACCCACATTGAGCTCCAAGTTGTTGCTACAGGCTATGAGCGCATAGACCTGACTGAATGGCTGAAGGTTACCGCTGTCCGCGCTCTTGAAGATCTTCTCCTTGACCGGTATCATGATAAACACGCTGCGCTCAAGGCTAGGCTGAAGCTTGAGGCCCTCAAAGGCCAAACATGGAGGTCATCCATGTAAGCTTTAGAACAGCACTTGACAGGTCTATTCACCACTCCGGATCTGGGGATGACTGACGTGTCTTGCATGGACGTAGTCATGGGAGTGGCCCCTAAGGAATACCTCTCCCTGCTAGCACTCAAAGACCATGCTACCTGGCGAGAGCTCATGAAGGATCTAGTCAACCTAGAGGCCAAGGACCTCGCCAGGCGCAAGAAGGCGCCCGCTGCAGGTGGAAAACCACAACGCAAGCGGTTTGGAAGCAGCAACCAGCTTGCACTGCATGACCATCGGGAGGCTGAAGATCAGTCCTATGCGGATGATCTGTCTCTAGATGACGATCTAGAGCCGGACTCCGATACGGGCTGTTCTACATCAGCCATTGAGTGTGATAGAAATGACGATGAAAAACTTAATGCATTCAGAAAGACTGCTTCAAATAAGGGGCCTAACCGTGGTTCGGGTAAGGGAACAGTTATACACCTTTCCAAGAATGCTAAGATCCCTGAGAAACCGAAGGATGCTTCCACCAAACCTTGGGAAGCCCTCCGCATCAGCCAAAAGGAATGGGAAAGAAGATCCAAACTGCGCGTATGCTTGCATTGTTCAAAGCCTGGGCATGCTGTGCAGGATTGCTATCGTCTTCGGGGAAACAGGCAAGGGGCGTAGAGGAGTCATCAGCACTCTCTACAACAAAGGAAGTTGAGCAGTCAGTTGCAGGCCCTTCCGAGGAGCCTGAATCTGATCAGCAGCTTGCTCTGGAAGCCCGAACTGATGCTGATTCCAAGGCTGGTGCAGTCCAAGTATTATACACTGAGCCTTGGGAGGAGTCTAGAGAAGTTGGCCTCCACGCCCACATGGAGCATTGGCTGCAGCTCAAGCAGCAACGCCGTGTTCAGGGGAGCGTGGAGCTAACCTTCTTTAAACTACTCATTAACCGCCGATACATCCGTGTGTTGATTGACAGTGGCGCCACCACTAATTTCTTCTCTCCGAACGGGATTCTTAAGGCGGGCATGGGTATGAAGCAAGTGGAACTGCAGAACCCTTGCCGGACTCAGGTGGGCAACCAAGAGGTTGTCACTTCTACTCATGTTGTCAAAGGTGTGCGCATCACCTTTGACAAAGATCGCACTGTCACACATGAGCTAAATTTTTATGTCTTGGACAAGTGTCCGTTCGACGCGGTCATTGGCTTGGGCTGGCTAAAGGCTCATTGCCTAAAGACCACGTGGGCGGACAATCAGTTCGTGGTTCTCGATGTCGAGGGGAACGAGCGTACCGTCTTATTAGACGAGACGCGCGAGTCCCCTGTGACTCTTCTAAGTGCAAACAAATTCTGCAGGTCAGTGTGCAGGCGCAAGGATGCTGAGTTTGTACATATAGCTCTTGTAAAGCCTTTCCATGTGCCTTCTACTTTTGCTGCATTTTCTTCTTCTGAAGGTAACTCTACTACTTCTACTTCTGTTCCACCTACTTCTGCTGTAAATAATCAATCTAATTCTGATCCGAATGCCTCAAAACCGGTTGTGATTGCTGTAAACTCCCAATCTGATTTTCTCTCGCCTGATGAGGATGATCCTCCACCCGAAATCCCAGCAAACATTCGCCTCCTATAAGATCGATTCCCGGAAGTGTTGGCTGAACCGCGCGGAGTTCCCGAGCGTCCAGTCAAGCACAAAATCGAGATAATAAAAGGGAGTGTTCCTCTAAAGGGCTGTGTCTATCGTATGGGACAAGGCGAGTTGGAGGAGCTGCGGAGACAGATTGATGACATGATTGACCGTGGATGGATTAGGCCTAGTGAGTCTGAGTTTGGTGCCCCTGTCCTGTTTGTACTGAAGAAAGGGGGCAAGCTCCGAATGTGCATTGACTATCGTGGCTTGAACCGGATCACTAGAAAGAATGCGTACCCTTTGCCTCACATAGATGATTTGTTGGATGCGGCCGGTGGTTGCAAGGTCTTCTCCAAGATTGACCTCAAGTCTGGCTACCACCAGATTGAAGTCGATCCGAGTGACCAGCACAAAACCGCGTTCAAGACACGCGATGGGCTGTACGAATTTATCGTTATGCCCTTCGGCCTTACGAACGCACCAGCCACATTTCAGTCCCTCATGGACAAGGTACTTCGCCACCAACTTAACAGGTTTGTGGTTGTGTATCTTGATGACATTCTGATTTTCAGCAAGTCCATGGAGGAGCACGTCAAGCATCTTGAGGAGGTCTTGCAAGTCCTCAAAGATGCTCAACTGCACCTCAACTTGGAGAAATATGAGTTTGGCAGGGACAACATCATCTATCTTGGGCACCAGTTGTCTGTGACCGGCCTTGAGCCGAAGGCAACCAAAGTTGAGGTCATCCGCAACTGGCCTCAACCGGCAAATGTACGCGAGCTGCGTTCTTTTCTCGGTTTGGCTTCTTACTACCAGAAGTTTGTGCCTAAATTCTCTGTCATTGCTCATCCACTCTCACGCCTGACTAGTAAAAATGTTGCGTACGCGTGGTGTGAAAAGTGTGAGACTGTGTTCCAAGCCTTGAAAGAGGCTTTGGTGAGTCATCCTGTGCTCCGCATTGCGGATCCCAACCTCACGTTCGTAGTCACTACGGACGCGAGCCAGTTCGGGATTGGTGCAGTGCTGCAACAAGATGATGGCGATGGCCTGTGTCCGCTTGAATATTACAGCAAACGCATGCCCAGCCACAAGGTAGCCACTTCCACATACGCGCGGAAACTCTACGCCTTGCGCGAGGCGCTCACGCATTGGAAGCAGTATCTCTTGGGTCGCCACTTCAAGGTCTACTCGGATCATCAGACCTTGCGGTGGATTAAGACACAAATCGATCTTTCTCCAACGCTGACCCGCTGGTTGCATGATATTGATGTCTTCGACTTTGAATTGAAGCATAAGAAAGGCTGCTATAATCGTGTTGCTGATGCTCTATCGCGCCATCCTGAGTATTTGACTTGCCTGGTGGATTCGTACGACCTCTACAGGAAACTGAAGGAGGATCTGATCGAACACATTGCCAAGGATCCGGACCTTGGTCCCATCCTTGAGCAACTCAAGGCTGACCCCAACAGCCAACCTGATTTTCATGAATGCGATGGTCTTGTATTCCGCCGGTACGGGAAATTTGATCGCTTGTGTGTTCCTAACCATGCGCCTCTCCGGACTCATTTCCTGGATTTGGCACATGGTCGGAGTGGGCATTTCGTCTTTGAGAAGACTTATGGAAGTCTTCTCCAGCAGTTTAATTGGCCAGGAATGAAGGGATCTGCTCAGAAATTTATTGCCGAGTATCAAGTCTGTCAGAGAACCAAGGTCCACAGGCATAAGCCTTATGGCCTGCTGAGACCTCTCCCAATCCCTGATGGCCCCGGGGAATCGGTCTCTATCGATTTCACGGATATGGGGAAGGTGAGTACGGCAGGGAATTCACAAGTCATGGTCATTGTGGATTGCTTCTCTAAATTTATGAATCTGATTCCTCTACCTCCTCATGCACCGGCTGAACTGGTGATCGAAGAGTTTCACCAGCAGTACATTCTGCAGTATGGGCCCCCGAAAACTCTTGTGAGTGATCGGGACACCAGATTCATCAGCAAGGATTGAAAGGACTTCACTGCCCAGATCTATGACATCAAATTGAACATGAATTCTGGTTGACACCCCGAAGCCAATGGACTGGCTGAGGAAATCAACCAGACCGTCACCCAGCTGCTGCGCGCATTGATTGTGCCAGACCAGAACACATGGGATAAGGACTTGCATAAAGTAAAGGGGCTGTACAACAACTCCATCCATTCTGCAGCCGGTGTGACACCAAACCAGTTGCAGTATGGATGGCCAATGCGCAATCCCCTCTCCTACCTGTTCTCAGAACGGTCACCTGGTCTGATGCCTGACATGCCTGGCTACAATGCCAAGTACGCACGCTTGCTCAAAGCTGTGACCGCAGCCATGAACAAGTGTCAGCATGCCATGATCAAACATGCTAATAAGATGCGCAGAGAAGAGAAATTCAAAGTAGGAGATTATGTCTGGGTCAAAATGTCTGAATTTTCTGATGAAGAGGGTGTTTCACGGAAGCTTCTTCCACTATACTACGGCCCTTGGCAGATTCTGAAAGTGATTGGGGATGATTTCGGTCCTTCGTATGTGATTGACGTGCCGCCTCATCTGCGCACGTACCCAGTCTTCCATGCCTCCAAACTGTTTCCGCACATTGATGATGAGACTTTTCCCTTCCGAGACCCTATGATACCTCGCCCTATCGATGGTGGCCATGAGATCGACAGAACCGTTTCTCACGAAGGGAGAGGGAGGAACAAACAATATAAAGTTCACTTCCTCTATCACCCGTTGAATGAATTTTTCTGGATCGACCGGAAAGAGCTGCTGAATAGTGCGCCACGTGTTGTGAACGCATATGAACGACAAATTGCTGATGGACAGACCGCCAAGTTTGCTGCAAAACTCACTCCGTTCGGTCTCAATAACACTCTCCTTTTGATCTATGCCTACGACGCCTTTTGTACCGACTCTGACTGAGTTACTCGCTCGAAGGGACCTCGCTCTCGAGAGGGGAGTAATGTAATGACCCGCCAAAAACACAGACTGAGAACACTGCCGATTTCTGGGATTTGTCACTGAAATGGATGCCTTGTTGTGATTCCCGCATCCTGCTGTGGTTCCAAGTCTGTGTGTGTGCGTGCCTGCTGGTTGCATGCC